GTTTCCGAGGCTGTAAATCTTTATGGGAGCAGAAAGCCTCATCTTTCTCCCATGGAACAGCTGGTAGTTTCGAACTGCTGACCTTGAGGTTTGCAAGACTTCCTGCTTAGTATATAATTAATATGAATCAGGGATTGTTCTTAGCACAATTCATATTTAATTCAGAAAACAGTTTATAAGATATAGGTATTATTATCCGTCCTGATTTACAAATGAGGAAATTGAGGATTGGAGCCAGAAATTCGAATTAAGTTTATAAACTACAAAGCTAGAGTTCAAGCCAAGATTAGACAGATTTTTAAAACCACATGTTTAATTACAATTTTCTACTGCCCCTTATTTTAAAATCAGCAGTATTCACTTATTGACTCAACAAGTCGAGTCAGTTCAGACTCATAGCGACCCTAATGCACAAAATAAAGAAACTGCCTGGTCATGCACCATCCTCAACTGTTGTTACTTTTGAGCCCATTGTTGTGCTCCAGTGTCAATCCATCTCGTTGAGGGTCTTCCTCTTCTTTGCTGACCCTCCACTTTATCAAGCATGATGTCCTTCTCCAGGGACTGGTCCTTCCTGATACCATGTCCTAAACACACGAGACAAAGTCTTACTAACCTCACTTCTAAGGAGCATTCTGGTTGTACTTCTTCCAAGACAAATTTGTTTGATCTGGCAGTCGATGGTAATTTCAGTGTTCTTCACAATAATTTAAATACATCGAATCTTCTCTGGCCTTCCTTGGTTGAACATTGGCCAGTTTTCACATGCATATGAGGCGATGGAAAATACCATGACTTGGGTCAGGTGCACCTTAGCCTCAAAGTAATTTTTAACAGGTTGTTTGCAGTAGATTTGCATAATACATTCATCGTTCAATTTCTTGATTGCTGCTTCCACAAATATTCATTGTGGATCTAAGAAAAAATGAAATCTTTGACAACTTCAGTCTTTTCTCTGTTTATCATGATCTATTTATTTGTCCAGTTGTGAGGATCTTTGTAATCTTTACATTGAGGTGCAACCCATATTTAAGGCTGTGGTCTTTGATCTTCATCACTAACTATTTCAAGTCCTCTTTGCTTCCAGAAAACAAGTTGTATCATCTGCATATCGTAGGTTGTTACTGAGTCTTCCTCCAATTCTAATGCCATGTTTTTCACATGCACACCTTTCCTGATTTTAAATCATTCAATATCCCCTTATTCATTTCTAACAACTACCTCTTGGTCTATGTACAGGTTCCTCATGAGTACAATTAAGTATTCTGGTATTCCCATTCTTTGCAATGCTATCTATAGTTTGTTATGATCCACACAGTCAAATGCCTTTGCATAGTCAATAAAGCACAAGTAAACAACTTTCTAGTATTCTTTGCTTTCTGTCAAGATTCATGTAACATCAGCAGTGTTATCCATTGTTCCATGTCCTCTTTTTAATTCGTCTTGAATTCTGGTAGCTCCATGTTGATGTACAGCTGCAGCCATTTTTGAATTATCTTCCACAAAATTTTACTTGCTGTATGTGATATTAATGATATCATATGCTCATTCATCTATGCCAAAAACTTTGTAAGACATCTAACGATTTGTGGTCATTCCAAAGAAAAGAGACCCAACAGAAAGCAGAAGTCATCGAGCAACAATGGCATTGTTGCCAAAGACTTCATTTTGTTTGGATCCACAGTCAACACTCATGGAAGTAGTCAAGAAATCAGACGATGTATGCATTAGGCAACTCTACTGCAAACGACCTCTTTAAAGTCACTTTGTGTAAACCAAAGCATGACTCAAGCATGAATATGGATCACTTCCAACAGGTTGTCCAGGTAGTGGTCTTGCAAATTTCTTGGCATAGACGCATGAACACCTCCAGTACTCAGTTTGTTGAAACATTTCCATATATATTTCATCACTTCTTGAAGCCTTGTTTTTCTCCAGTACTTTCACTGGAGTTTGGACTTATCCCTTCAATATTATTGGTTATTGATATCTTGAGATGGTTGAACATTAACCAAGTCTTTTTGGTTCAGTGACTCTATGTATTCCTTCCATCTTTTTTTTTTTTTTTTTTCTTCACAATGCAACATCATTATAATTAGCTATGCACAAGACAACATCAATCAAAACATTACAAAATAGGAAACCATATATGCTCAATGGTATTTCCCAAGGCCTTACTATAATAGCCAAAGATTTAAAGAAAGGTAAAATTAATTATGGAATGACAAAATAACATTGATGAGGATATATCCCTGTTACAATAAAAATGTTGTGTTTGCTCACAAGTACCAGTATGGAAGAAACATCTAAAATTGGACATAAAGGAATCTTTTTACAGTGATTCCTTTCATGTATAGTGAGGTGTGAGACCTAACGGTTTTGCAACACTCCTTACATTTATAGGGCCTCTCTCTGTGGAATCGCTTGTATGTTCTGTATTATGAGGCACATCTGAAGGCTTTCCCACACTCCTTACATTTCTAAGGTTTCTCTGCACTGTGGATTCTTCTATGCGAAATGAGGTTTGAGCAATGAGTAAACCTTTTCATAGGTCCTCTCACCACTGTGGATTCTTCTGTGTCTTGTGAAGTTTGAGACTAGGCTAAAAGCTTTGCCACATTCCTTACATTCACAGGGTCCATTCCCACTATGTGTTTTCCCAGTATGAGTTTGCACATGCATACTATACTAGAAATATATGAAGGGTTTCCCACACACCTTACATTCATAAGGCTTCTCTCCACTGTGAGTTCGCATATATACAAAGAGGGTTGTGGGAGAAATATAGGCTTTTCTCATTCTTTACATTCATATGGCCTCTCTCCACTGTGAGTTTGCAGGTGTCTACTATATTTTGAGGACTGTCTGAAGTCTTTCCTACATTGCTTACATTCGTAAGACTTCTCGCCACTGTGGATTCTTCTATGTGCAGTCAGGGCTGAGGAATCACTAGAAGTTTCCCCACATTACTTACATTCATAAGGCCTCTCTCCACTGTGGATTTTTTTATGTTTTATGAGCCTTGAGGCTCATCTAAAGGCTTTCCCACATTGATTGCATTCATAGAGCCTGTCTCCACTGTGAGTTTGTATATGTCTACTGTGCTGAGCTCCTAACATTTAAAAGGCCTCTTTCTCTGTGAGTTCGTACATATGCAGTGAGGTGTGAGGCCTGCCTAAAGGCTTTCCCACACTCCTACATTCACAGGGCCTCTCTCCACTGTGAGTTCGCATATGTCTATTGAGGGGAGAGGACTCTGAAGGCTTTCCCACATTACTTACATTCATAAGGCTTTTCTTCACTGTGAATTCTTCTATGTGCAGTCAGGTATGAGGAATTAATAAAAGATTTCCTACATTCCTTACAAAGGGCCTCTCTCCACTGTGAATTCACATATGTACAGTGAGGTCTGAGGAAGAAACAAAGCTTTCCCACATGCCTTACATTCATAGGGCCTCTCTCCACTGTGAGTTCGCATATGTCTTTTGCAGAATGAGGACTCTCTGAAGGCTTTCCCACATTGCTTACATTCATAAGGCCTCTCTCCACTGTGAGTTTGCATATGTCTACTGTATTGGGAGGACTAAGTCTTTCCTACATTGCTTACATTCATAGCGCTTCTCTCCACTGTGGATTCTTCTATGTGCAGTCAGGGCTGAGGAATCCCTAAAGGCTTTCCCACACTCCTTACACTCATAGGGCCTCACTCCACTGTGAATTTTTTTGTGTCTTCTGAGCTTTGAGGCTAGGCTAAAGGCTTTCCTACATTGATTACATTTATGGAGACTGTCTCCACTGTGAGTTTGCATGTGCCTACTGTGAACCTTAAGGTCAGCAGTTTGAAACAACCAGCTGTTCGGCGGGAGAAAGATGAGGCTTTCTGCTCTCGTCAAGATTTACAGCCTTGGAAACCCTGTACAGGGTCACTGTGAGTCGGAACTGACTCCACAGTACATAACAACAACAATTGTGCTGTGAGGAGTCCCTAAAGGCTTTCCCACAGTCCTTACCTTCATAGGGGCTCTCTCTACTGTGGATTTTTCTATGAGCAGTTAGGCCTGATGAATCACTAAAAGTTTTCCCACATCTCTCCCCACTGTGAGTGTTTACATGTTAAGTAATGGAGGAGGCCTCAGGAATAACTTTCTTACATTCAGAAGGCTTCTCTCTCTTATGAAAGTTAGTATTTAAAATAAGAGATGAAGGGCGAGTATCCATTCTAAAACATTCTTTACATAAGCATCCATGACCTTCGACAGATGTCCAAAAGGGTGAGAGACTACAGAAAATATCCATCCACTTGTTGAATTTATACCCTTCATTACTGGTGATTGCTGAGACAGGATACTTGTGGGGTCGACATACAAAGAAAGCCTTTCCCACAGCTTACATTTATGGGTATTTTTTCCATTATGAGGTCTCACAGGAGTGTTCACATGAGAGGGACACCTGTAGTCTTCTCCACAATCATACACTGACTTGTACTGCTTCCAGTGTGAGCTCTAATATGGTGTGATCCATGAAGGCTCCTCTATAGTCACAACATTCAAAAGGATCTACTTCTCTGGGATCTCCTTGGTGCACAGTAACATCAGGAATAGGGCTGGAGGTTTCCTCATACTGGCTGACTTCAGAACATTCAGAGATTCTCGATTGCATCAGTTCTCAAATGTCTCCCCTGGTTGTCATGGTGATCCTTCCAGCCACGTGATTCTGTGATTTCACACGGCTTGTGTAATGACTAGGTGTTACTCTTCAAAAATTGTACCACTATATGCTCACTGGGTAACTTTTCTCCATCATTAAGGTTTCCAGCCACTGAACCAACTGAAGCTAGGTTTCTCAAGGTCTCCATCATCACGTCTCTATACAGTTTTCTCTGAGCAGGATCCAGCACATTCCACTCTTTGTGGGTGAAGACCACGGCCACATCTTCAATGATCACTGTACCCATTCCCCAGCTCCACCTTCGGGAAGTCTAAGAGCAGGTCCCCGACAGGAACCGGAGCTCCGTGGATTCAGGCCAAGGGACGGGAGTGGACGCGGAGCTCGGGGCACATTGGGAACAGATGCACAGCAGCCATCCACGCCTCAAATCCTGGTCATTTGTGGACCCGAGTCGCCACTGGGCTCCTCTCCCTGCTCCACGTGTGAGGCCGGAAAGGGAAGGGAGATGGGCGGAATCAGTGGGCGTGTTCCCGGGGGACACCTCAAATGTCTTCCCCGGTTGTCAAGGTGATCCTTCTAGCCATTCGATTCTGTGATTTCACCGACTGAAGCCAGGTTTCTCAAGGTTTCCATCATTATGTCTCTGTACAGTGTTCTCTGAGCAGGATCAAGCAAATCCCACTCTTCATGGGTAAAGACTACAGCCACATCTTCAATGATCACTGTACCCATTCCCCGCTCCACCTTCCGAAAGTTTAAGAGCAGGTTCCCAACAGGACCGGGAGCACCGCGGATTCAGGACGAGGAACGGGAGTGGACGCGGAGCTTGGGGCACATTGGGAACAGACGCACAGCGGCCATCTGCTATTCTAATCCTGGTCCTTTGTGGACCAGAGTTGCCGACTGGTCTCTCCTTTGTGGACCAGAGTTGCCGACTGGTCTCTCCTTTGTGGGGATGAGAAGCTCACTTTGCCCCGCGGGGACACACACCTCGTGACCCCGGGACGAACCGACATCCGCATCCCTCCGGAACCTCTGGAGGGGCGGGTCTTCCTGGAGAGAGAAGACCTTGAGTCTCCCAGAGGGCGGAAAGAGACAAGGGCATGCAGGAGAGAGGGAGAAGTGCCCTAGGACCTTAATATCACATCTTCTTTTGATACTTCCTGCATCATTGAATATTTTGTTCATAGAATCTTTCAACATTGGAATTCATGGCTTGCATTTTTTTCTTCAATTCTTTCCGCTTGATAAATACTGAGCATGTTCTTCCCTTTTGGTTTTCTAACTCCAGGTCTTTACATATTTCATTATAATACTTCACTTTGTTTTGAGCTACCCTTTGAAATTTGCTGTTCATCTCTTTTACTTCCATTATTTCTTCCAGTTGCTTTGTTGTTGTTGTTATGTGCTGTGCAGTCGTTTCCGACCCATAGTGACCCTGTACAGGGTTTCTGAGGCTGTAAATCTTTCCGGATCAGAAAGCCTCATCTTTCTTCTGCAGAACAGCTGGTAGTTTTGAACTGCTGACCATGCAGTTTACAGCCTGATTCGTAGCCACTATGCTTCCAGAGCTCCAATTGCTTTAGCTTCTGTAAATTGTAGAACAAGTTTCAGAGTCTTTTCTGACATCCCTTTTGGTCTGTCTTTCTTTTGTCTTTTAAATGACTTTTTGCTTCATCATAATGTTCTTGATGTCATAGCACAGTTCTTCTAGTGTTTGGTCATTAGTGTCTAAGGCATCAAATATGTTCTTGAGTTGGTCTCTAAATTTAGGTTTGATATATTGGAAGTCATATTTTTGGCTCTCATGGACTTGTTTTCATTTTCTTCAGCTTCAGCCTGAACTTGCATATGAGCAACTCATGGTTTGTTATAGTCAGCTTCTGGCCTTGTTATGGCTGATGAATTGAGTTTCTCCATCATTACTTCCCATAGATGTAGTCAATTTGGTTTCCATGTATTCCGTATGGTCCATGTGTATAGTCACTCTGTATGTTGTTGAAAGGTCATACAAATTGAATAAATTAATTGTTCTCGCAAAATTCTGTCATGTGATCTCCAGCATCATTTCTGTCACCAAGGCCACCATATTTTGCAACTACTGGTCCTTCATCTTTGTTCCAACTTCCACATTCAAAACACTATTAATTATTAATACATCTTGATTGAATGTTTAATCAATTTCAGATTGAAGAAATTGGTAGAACTCTTCAGTTTCATCCTCTTTGGCTCTAGTGGTTGGTGTGTAAGTTTGAATAATAGTGGTAGTAACTGGTCTTCCTTGTAGGTATATGAATTTTCTCCTACCTCCTACAGCACGGTACTTAACGATACATCTTGAAATACCTTTTTGATGGTAACTGTGATTCCATTCCTCTCGAATTTGTTATTCCTGACATAGATTACCTGGTAATGATTGTCTGATTCACCATGGCCACTGCCTGACATTCCAGCTCACAAATGCCTAGGCTATTGATCTTTATGTGTTCCATTTCATTTTTTGACCACTCCCAATTTTCCTAGATTTACACAGCGTACATTTCACGCTCTGATTTTTCATTGATGTTTGCAGCTTTGAGTTGTGCCCCATCAGCAAATGAAGGTCCTGAAAGCTTTGCCTAATCCACTTCATTATGGCCAACTCTACTTTGAGCAGGCCTCTCTTCCTCAGTCATTTTGAGTGTCTTCCAACCTGAGGGTCTCATCTTCCAGTGCTACATCTGACAGTGTTAATGTTGTTTTTCACAAGGTTTTCAGCGGATTAACCTTCAGAAGTTGTGTGCTCTCCTCCCTAGTTCTACCTTAACCTGAACACCCCACTGAGACCTTTCCACCATGGGTGACCCAGCTGATATTTAAAATACCAGTGTCAGAGCCTCCAGCATTATAGCAACATCCAAGCCAGCACAGTACAGCAAACTGAAAGACAAGTGGTGGAATATTCACTTAGTGCCTGTAATGTCCCCAACACTAGTCTCGGCACTAATGGTCCAGTCAGTGAACAAAGCCGACCATAACTTCTGCCTTACTTTCTGGTGAGAAGAGATGGACAATAAATAAGCAAATTCAGTATGCCAGACGGAGATAAGATGTGGGAAACAAGATAGGTGGGGGGCCAGGCTGAGGAAAAGTGGGCATTGTAACCCAGGTTAGGGAAGGCAGGCTTCCTTGAGCAAAGCCTTGAAGAACTGAGCAAGGGCACCTTGAAGCAGTCTGGCAGGCACCTGACAGGTGAAGGAACTAAATAAACTGGGAAATCAAGTCAGCTGCCATCGACTCCACTCCGTTTCATGGCAGCCCCATGTGTGCTGAGTAGAATTGCTCCACAGGGTCTTCAAGGCTGTGACCTTTCGGAAGTCCATTTCCAGGCAGGTAGAAGGAGGAACAAGTGAAGAGGCCCTGTTGGAGGATTGAGCCTTGGGTGAACCCTCAAGGCGAGTGTGGCTGGGGTCTGGTTAGGAGAGGAAATGGGAGAGGAAGTAGGAGAGGCCCTGCGGTGGACTGGAGAGGTTCTGCGGTGGACTGGGGTTGCCGAGGCAGGCCATCCAGTAGGGCCTAGGAGGCGTGTTTAGTCTTGCTCGGAATGAGCCGTTGGAGGGGCTTGAGAGGAGCAGGTGTGATCTGACTTCCGGTTTAAAAAATGCCTGGCTTCGTTGATGAGACTGCGGGGGCTGGAGGGGGCCATTTGGTTAGGAGATTGTATAATCCCGTGAGTGGTGACGGCACCTACACTAAGGCGGACATTGCGCCTCGAATGTTTGCAGCAAGGGTTAACAGTGCCATTGCTCCTGCAGAAGTCAACGGAAGGGGCTGATCTCTGGTTTTACTTTCTCAAAAGAAAGAAGTCTCTTTATTTTAAGTGAATATTAGAGTTTCTGGTGTGGGGCTGTAGGAGAAGCACTGACAGTTCACACCCACCAGCTGCTCCTCAGATACCCTACAAAGGGTCGCTGTGCATCGGAATCAACTAGATGACATTGAACAACTTCAGTAGTGGTATGGTGAGCATGTTTCAGTGACGCACGTTCTTTACGTAACATGCTGGCCTATCAGGCGGGTTTGTGCAATTTTATTGGTGTTCTCACTCAGGCTTACCTGGGACTGCCAGTGCAGACCTGAGCGGCCTGGCCACCTGTGTCTAGGGTATAATAACAGATTTTCGTCCTATCGTTTGTATCTTAGCTTAAAAGAAAACATACTGTGGATTGTGGAGTACGTTGGAATGTTTATCAGTATTGCTTGTTTTTAATTCTCTCTAGCTTTTCAGCATTTGCTATAACAAGTTATCTAAGCTGTCCCAGGGTAGCAGTGTTAATAGTTAAGTGTTGTACTGCTAATTGAAAGGTTGACAGTTTGATTCCACCCAGCGGCACCTCCGAAGCCAGGCACTCTTGCTTCAGGAAAAGTCCTATGAAGTACAGTTCTTCTGTAGAGGCAAAGTAGGAGCAGAGGCCTGGTCAGTGACCTAGGAGAAGTTGTTCCCAGCATTGCTCTTCTGGTTTATGGCTGACCCTTTTCATGTGAGGGAAAGTCAAAAGGTATTGCTACAAAATTATACAAAACGACCAAAATGTGAAGGCACTGCTTTTCAGTATCTCGTCCATGTAGGTCTCTACACTTCTGAAGGCAGTGTTTCCATTTCTCTAGCCCTTCCTCCAAGAATTTGGTTTACACCATGTGAAAAGTGTAGTTTGGGCATTCTTGAGGGACTCAAGTCATGTTCATTTTCAATGTTCTCTGAATTTTAGGAACAAAAAGAAATCTAAAGGGGCAAGATGAGGACTATAGGGTAGATGGGGAAAGTTTCCCAATGAAATTCTCATAGGATGGCCCTGGCTAGCTTCGAAGAATGAGCAACTGCATTGTTGTGATGGAAAATAATTCTTCAGTGCAACTTACCTGGCCTTCTTCTGTTTTGTTAAAATGCCTTCATAATAAGTCTCCAAGATTGTCCTTCCAAAACTATGAAGGTCACCCTTTGGGAGTCCTCTAAAAAACAGTCGCCTTGACTCTGCCTTGAACCGGCCCAGCAGATCCTCTTAAAAACCATTGTTTTGAATGAACCTTTTTAGTTGGAGGCCCCCCAACAAGACCAGGACATGTGTATTTACTGGGAGAGCTTGTCTGCAGTCATCCGCTGATCACAAAGACCTGCTTAAACACATTTTTTTTGGAATAAACCTGTACGTGTATAAACTGGAATCCTAGTAGCAATCTGTTTTGACTTGCCACGCTTAGAAATAGTTCTAGCAACCTGGAGAACATAAAAGAAAGGAGCATGGTACGTTTTCCAAATGCTGAAAGTGGAATGAACAACACAAATAGTGTCAGTAGGAAAAGGTCCAAAGGATTCATAGACAGTTCCTCTCTCTGGCAAGAAAAAGTCACAGTGTTTTTGTTGGTTGGTGGAGAGGAACTTTAATGTTTTATTTTGCATGATTTAAGTTTTTGCAAGCATGGGCTGATATGCAATAGTTAATAGTATTGTTACAGTTACTCCTTTGGCTAGAAGTAAGGCCTTTTTCCATGGAGAGGAATATCCATGTTGTGTTACATTGCGTTATAAGTACTAATATGTTATACACTTGTTGTTGTTGTTCCTAGGACTTAGAAGAATTCTGCTTCAGATTTTGCATAAACCATTTGACTGTAGTAACACAAACTACAGGCTTTGCAGAAATGGACCATGACCTTCTGAAGAACTTCATCAGTAAAGCAAGCCGAGTTGGAGCTTTTAAAAATTGATCCTCATCTGGATTGCAATCAATGACATGAACAAAATGTATATGAATTGGTTGAATGGAAAACTGGTCTGCTTTGTAAATCTTCAGCAAATTCACACACACACACACATTTAAAAAAAAAAAAAAAAAAGGTGACAGCCATGACAAGCCTTGTGGAGTTGAGGTCTACACTGAGAGACACGGGCTCACCAGGAAGCAACATGGTACTCAATGAAACTGGTTTATGTGCAGTAAAGGGTTGTTACAGCAGGTGGCTCGTACAAACCCTCCACATTCCAAAGGTCTTCAGGAGTGACCCTTGACCAGTTCTTGTGAAAGATCGAAGTCCTGGAAATATTCTGCCTCATAGAGTATCTTTGCATACTAGGAGTCTTGAGTCATACCAGACAGTTTATGCTAACAATGCGGTTTATGATGAACACCTGTTTTTACTGGCTTGGGGACCCTGAGCCATGCTTTACCAGTTTGACTTCTGGGGGGCTAGAGACTAAATAGCTGACGTCAATCATGCACCAAGTCTGCCTGACTGATCAGCATCCTGGTTGGGAACACTTCATGTTGTTACTGGGAAGATTAAATATAGTCCATGCTCCTTGGGAGAGAACAACTGGAAGTCTGCACCCAGATACCCTATGCACCTTTCTTTGATTGTTTGAATATGTATCTGTAATAAACTGCAATTGTAAGTTTGAAAAATAAAAAGGATACCCATCTGCAGAAAAGGATCTGTCTTTCCATTTCCTCTTGAAAGCAAAAGTGGAGTAATTTCTCTTTAATATTACTTATGACTCACCACCACCACCACTACCACCGATATGCCGGGTAAGCTACAGTTAAGTAGACACTTACGCTTGTTACTGAGAGATTTTCTCCAGAGGCCTAAATCCCAGTTTTACACAGAAAATACGAAAGGCTCGGATGACATGTGACTAAGCTCAAGGGAAAGGACTTTAAAATCTCCTATTTACCATTTTTCTCATTGGTGTCACTATGTTGGACACCTTGGTACTTAGTTGTCAGACTATGTTTTTCTGGCCAAATGTCCCATTATTCACTTGGCTGGCATCATGTAGAGAACTTTACCAGGAACATGGTCAGCATCCAGCACAGTGCTCTGAATATAGGAAGCACTCAATTTATGATAATTCTTTTATTTAAGTAGGCCCTCAGAACAGCTTTAGTTGTGGAATAAGTTGTAGAAAATAAATGTACAGCCTATCATTATTGAGGTTCAGATTCCCTGGGACAGCGTTCTGAGAAAGAATGGCTTATTTAGAGCATTAATTAGAATTCACAAAAGGCCTTGGCAATTGAAGTGTCAGATGTCCAAGGGCTAATTTTAATTTTTCTGTTTACTCTGAGTCATTAATTTCTCATGGGATTATTGAATATGAAGTACTCTCCGGATGAATGTTATTTCTGGGCTCATCCTTTCTTAAGAAACTGCGTAATGCCCTTGGTGTATCTGTGTTAAGTTAAAATGATCATATGTTTTTCTTGTAGTCGACTTTTGTGTCACGATAAAACAGATCTCTTAACCTGGTATCCTGTTTAATTATAAAGTACTAGCTGAAAAGGAACTAATACATTTAATGGGTTGTAATAACAAGAATGTGATAAATTTATATACTTTGTAGATAAAAACAAGTTATCCAACTGTAAGAGAAACTGGAATGGCACATGGTGTCAAATTCTTCTAATGTGTCTCATAATTCAGTGAAAACTTTTTGGAATTAGAAACCTTATTCTGATGCTGAACTATTCGCTAATAAAGTTTTTAAGTGCAGACAATAGAACAAATGTAGTTTTTTTCATCCCTAAAAAGCGTCGAAATTATAACTTGTCTCTTATATGTATGTAAATTCAATTGATAAATTTGAAACTTGTTTTTAAAGCAGTTACTCAGATAAAGTCTCAAAGCAGATCATGCCCTAAAGCATAAATGGCTCATAAACAACAATCACTATGTTATTGTCCTTCATTCTTTGTATTGGTGAATTCACATTTTTAACATCCCTATTTCTTCCTGCCCTCAGCTCCTGATACCCACTGTCTTCCGTCTCAGTGGATTTGTCTACTCTATATAGTTTAGACAAGTGGAATTGTACAACATTTGACTTTTGGTGTCTGCCTTACATTGCTCAGCATGTTTTCCAGGTTCATCCACACTGGAGCATGTATCAGATCTTCAGTCCTTCTTATGGCTGAATGTGGTGGTGGTGGTTATGTGCTGTGGAGTCAGTTCTGACTCGTAGCGACCCTGTACAGGGTTTCTGAGGCTATAAATCTTTACGGGAGGAGAAAGCCTCATCTTTCTACTGCAGAACTACAGGCAGTTTCGAACTGCTGACCTTGAGGTTAGCAGCCTTACTCATAACCACTAATGGCTGAATAGTATTCTGTTATATGGATATTCCACCATTTGTTTATTCTTTTATCTGTTGATGGGCACTTAGGTTGCTTCCACTTTTAGCTATTGTGAATAGCTAAATATTGTATACAATTGTTTGAGTTCTTGCTGTAAGTTCTTTTGAGTATATACTTAGGAGTAGCATTGTTGGGTCATATGATAACCCTATACGGGGTCGCTATGAGTCAGAACCGACTCGAAGACATTTAACAACAACATGTAATCCTGGTATAGCATGTAGGGTAAGCGCTAGACTGCTGACTACAAGAATGGCAGTTCAAACACACCAGCTACTCTCAGAAACCCTATACAAGTTCTCTGAGTCTAAACCAAATTGACAGCACACAACAAGAGCAATACTGGGTGTGAAAGGTAGCCTTGTGGCACAGTGTATTAAGCAATGGGCTGTTAATCACAGGTTGGTGGTTCAAACCCACCAGCCACTCCAAGGGAAACAGATGAGGTTGCTCTCCTAAAGATCTAGTCTCTGAAATCCTATGGGACAGTCTAATCAGTCCTATAGGGTCACTGTGAGTTGGAATTGACTGGAAAATAGTGAGTTTAAGTGGATATGAATAATATCTATGGTTTGGTTTGCATTTCCTTAATGGCTAATGATGGTGAGCGTTATAAAAATTACTCATAGGCCATTTTCATATCTTCTTTGGAAAAATGTCAAGTCCTTTACCTACTTTAAAAAAAAATTGTTAGTCTTTTTGTTGTGTTTTAAGAGTTCTTTAAATATTTTAGGTATTAAACCCTTATCTGATATTTATTGTTGTTAAGTGCCATCGAGTCAGTTCTGACTCATAGCAACCCTGGATAGGATTTCCCAGGAGTCATTGGTGGGTTTGAACCAACCTTGTGGTTAGTATCCAGTGCTGATCCTATAGTGCCACACTAGGCCTCCTAGCTGATCCATAGATTCTCAATATTTTCTCCTGTTTTATGAGTTATCTTTTCACTTTCTTGATTTTTTGTGAACTGAGTGATATTTTCGTGGGAGAACATCGGCTTTACACTGTTTCATTGCAACTTGATCATATCTTTTGATGCATTAATGTTTTAATTTTGATGAGGATCCATTTTTTTTCTCTTGTTGCTTATGTTTTTGGTGTCATGTGTTAGAATCCACTGCCTAAAAGAAGGTCCCACAGCTTTTCCCATTTCTAAGAAATAATTATGTCATTTTCATGCATTTAAAATTTTGTATATGGTATGAGGTCTGGATCTAACTTGATTCTTTTGTATATGGAGATCTAGTTGTCCCCAGTACCATTGTTAAAGAGACTTTTCTTTCCCCATTGAGTTGATTTGGCACTCCAAGTGAAAATCAGTTGACCAGTTGTTGTTAAATACTGAGTCTGTTCCAACTGCATTTATTCTTGGATTCTCAATTCTATTCCACTGATTCAGTGAAGTCACTTTTAGTTTCTTCTTGACAAATTATTTATCCTTTTTTTTTTTGGAATCTTTACCTGGTAAAAGTTCCATTTTTGGAACTTGATAGTCTTGCTAAATGCTGTTGCGTCTGTTCTGACTCGAAGCGACCCTGTATGGGGTTTCTGAGGCGGTCCCCTGTATAGGGTTTTGGAGGCTGTACATCTTTGTGGGAACAGAAAGCCTCGTTCTTCTGGAGCACAGTGGCTAATGGGCTCGAACCAACTTTGTGGTTTGCAGTCCAGTGCTTATCCTACAGAACCACCACAACTCCCTATATAGCCTTATTCTGTTTTATTTTAAAAATTACCTTGTTATTGTTAAGTGCCGTCAAGTCGGTTCCGACCCATAGCAACCCTGTACAGGGTTTCTGAGGCTGTAAATCTTTATGGGAGCAGAAAGCCTCATCTTTCTCCCGCGGAGTGGCTAGTAGTTTCGAACTGCTGACCTTAAGGTTCGCAGCCCGATTTGTAACCACTACACTACCATTTATTTCATTTTTTGATAATTTGATGTTTTTATCCACTAAAGATTGATTCAGACATAGTAATTACCTACAGCTGCCCATTCTGGCAGGCAGTCAACGCAGACTTCGTCTCCATGACCTGCCTCTCACCTTTCTCAGCCAGCTGTAACAACTAACTTGGCCTTTGCCCTTCTTCACAGTATCTGCTAAGCCCATCTTCCTTTTCCTTGCATATTTCTGACATTTTTCTTAAGTTTTTCAGTCTTTTTAAAAAATAAACTTATTTCATGTAAAAACTGAAACAATCAAAAGGGAGATAAGTTCATGTAGAGGTGAAAATGGACTGCCCTTCACCAAACTCTACAGTGGGCCAGTAGCTACACCTGCCATAGCTCTACTTCTTAAGAAAGGTTGGATGACATTTTATCCAGATTTTCTCAATAAGCTTTATTATGTATAAGTTTGCAGTATTATACTGGAGGCTTCAAAAAGTTATGGGGAAATGGAATGAAAAGATGATGGAATTTTAACACACCATTTTTGAAGTCCCCTCCTATATTTCCTGGTGTGTCGCAGTGGGTTAATGTGTTGAACTGCAAAGTCGGTGATGCAAGCTCACCAGCCACTCCTCAGAAACCTCATGCAGGGTCACTATGGGTCAGAACCTACTTGATGGCAATTAACAGTAACTCCTGTATTTCAGTATTTCTTTTCTTTGGGCACAACAAAATAATCCATGGGCAGGGTAGTGGTGGTGTTAGGTGTTGTCAAGTCGGTTAGGACTCACAGTGACCCTGTAGTTCCCGTAGACCCTTCTGAATGTTTATTGTTGTTGAGTGCTGTCATTCCAATTCACAGTCTCCCCGTCTAGGATTTTCAAGGAGTGGCTGGTAGGTTTGAATCGCTGGCCTTGCAATTCATATCCAATGCTGTTCCCACAATCCTGCTGGTCAGCTAGCAATACGTGAGAGCAAAGGTACATTTCACAACGACTGCATCAGAGATCAGTGGGCCACTCCTGCTCCACAAGCTTATCTTAGGTTTTCTGGGTATTTTTCCCCTGCTGGCACAAAGAACTTCAATGTTTCACTGTTTCCAGCAGCTTACAGAAAAGGTTAAGGTTTTACAGGAATGAAGTAGTGCTAATAGAGGGTTGTGAAGAGACCATTTAATGCTTTTTAAGAAGTAAAGGTTGAAAATACTAAGTACTAGCGAATGTCAGAAAATTTTCAGAAAAATAGAATTGTAATAGAATTTTCCCAGGAACTTTTTGAAGCATCTTTTTAGTGCTTTGTTCTACCTTCCAGTTCACTGCATAGTTAGTGCTTGGTGTCTTTAAAGCTTGCAAGTGGCCAATCAAGGCGTGATTGTTCTCTAGTCACCTGGAGCAACAGGAGAGGCAGGGATGTGAGGGAGTGATGGAATGGGAGACTGATTGTGTCATAAACAACTGCGTCCCTTACCAGAAGAGCCACATGGTGCCTGGCTAACATTACTGAACATTTTGATCAAAAGATGGAAAATTTCAGAACAGAACTTGAAATTATGTTGGACTCCAGACTTTCTGGAGCCATGGGAGCTGGATGAACTCCTGAAATTAATGCTCGAAGCTAATCCTTAAACTTTAAACCTGTGCTGTCGACTTGATGGCAGCAGGAGTGGGAAGTCTTAAAACCAAACGGCTCAGCTAAATTAGTAAAAACTGTCTGCCTTGAGCATTGCGCTCTTTTAAAACCTAAATGAGATCAAAGTGACAACAATCAGGACAAACAGATGGGAGCTTCAGGGGAGAGTGAGTTCATGTCAACAGGGAGGAAGAACTTAGAAAAAGGGTTAAGATTGGTTATAGGGCTCCAAGAATAATCACTATCCCGGAAGGGGACACTGAATGGGTGTATGTTTTGCTGTGGATATTCTCAACAACAAAATAAAGCTTAAAGGGGGGTGGGGGTGGGGTGGGGAGGTAGCCACTACAAACAACATAATCTTGTCTTTTTTTAAAGCCTCTCCTGTGCTGTTATCACAACAAATTGGGAGAATTGTAAAGAAAAACTAAACTCCAACCCTTACTGTTACTTTCAATGCAATCTTTACCAAAGCATAAAAACACTGAGGGTCCATGAACTGTACTCATCTCCTTTCAAGAGACTTAGTTAACATCTTAACATTTTCTGTTTAGGGGACAACTGATGTTGGACCAAAGAATAAATTTAAACGTGCCGTCATTATCACATGCTGTTAAGTGCCGTTGAGTCAATTCCGACTCCTAGCAACCCTGTATAGAGCTTCCGAGGAGCTGGTGGGTTTGAACTGCTGACTTTGTGGTTTGAAGGTCAGTGCTGATCCTACAGCACCACACCAGGAGTCCTATCACATGGTACCATTAAGTGAAATCCCAAAGTCGTTCATGAGAACAGATGACCATCTCATTCAAATACTGCATAGATGTTTTACTGTAACATCTTTTGATTTTAAAAGCTCTGCTTGTAGTAGAAATGCAGTATTTCTATAAGGGTTTCAAGTTGGTCCTGTGAAGTATTCAGGCCAAAGAAAATTCTACTGAATCCTTATACTGTGGATGCTACACTGGCTCTAAAATGGGAAAGAAAAATGTGCTTCTGATACCACATCACTATGAAATCACCATGTGACATAATTACTATGTAGTAGTATGGAGGTTTTTGTTTTTACCATCTGCCCCAGAAAACCAATGAAAAGTTAAAAAATATATTAATATGAACTTGCCCCTTTATTATATCCTAAAATCTAAAGGAGCTCTGGGAGCATAGTGGTTACGAAACGGGCTGCTAACCTCAAGGTCAGTAGTTCGAAACTACCAGCCATTCCGTAGGAGAAAGATGAGGCTTTCTGCTCCCGTAAAGATTTACAGCCTCAGAAACCCCATATAGCGTCGCTGTGAGTCGGAACCGACTCCACGGCACATAACCACCACCACTACCATCACCAATGACTAACTGAATCAATGGGATACTAAATAAATATCTGGAAATGATCAATTTTCGTCATCTTGACTCAACATTTTTTGCTGTCCTAGGACTGATTGAGTCTGACCTGTCCAGGCTTGCTCCCTGCTCAGCTGGCTTCATTTGCTTTTCTTCATTCTTCAGGAATGAATACACATACTGCTGTTCAAGTGAAGCATTTCACTGCTCTTTTTCAAAAGACCTCCTTAGTACTAGAACTCTGATCTTTCCTCATGGGAAACCATTTGTGCCAACTGTATTTCATAGTGTTTAGAGTTTACAATGGCAATATGGTCCATACAGAGAATACATTAACACCTCAGCAGGGCTGGCTCACCTCCCGATAATCAAGCACATGCAAATGACTCCATGCCACTTTACGTAGGATTTTGCTTTCATATGACTTTTTGTATCAAACAAACTTACAGACCACTTTGTTTTCAAGCATTTTGGATTTGGACTTATGATATATTCATTTAGATGCTTTGGAGGAAAGGTCTTAAATATAAACTTTGTGTTAAATGAGAAGGGACACGTGCTCCTGCTCTGGTAGCTCCCTGTTTCACTGAGATCCCAATGAGCCCTCAAGCATACACCACCCCCCTCACGGCACTGGCTTGCCTCTCTCTGGAATGTTCTGTTCAAATATTCCTAGAATCCTTCTCTGACTAGTCTAAAACTCCCTGTTTTCCCTGCTTTAGTGTTTCTCACACAATCAGACACATATTTTCCTCATTTATTTTATCTGATCACTTCTTTCTCTGAAACTAGAATGTAAGTTCTATGTCGATGAGGATTTTAGTTGTGTTTTGTGATTGCTGCATCTCAAGCATCTAGAACTCTGTAAATATTTAAATGAAATATGAGGGGGCTTCAAAAAGTGTGTGATAATTTTTTAATTCCATTTTTTCACAAACTTTTTATGGCTCCCTCGTGTACACTTACAGATATGTATACATACACGCTTAAACATACATGCTTAGCATATATGTATGTTTATGTCAATGCTTTCAAGTCATAGAAGAAAAAGAGTACCAACATTTTTTAAAAGAACATTTGCTTGCTTCAACATACTTGGGAAAAAACACACATCCAGTTTTGTTTTGTTATATAGCTATAGTTTTTGTTGTTGTTGTTGTTGCTATAGCTACAGGATGGTGCTGTAGGATAAGCAATGAATCGCAGGGTCGGAGGTTCAAACTTACCAGCTGCTCCTCTACAGGGTCACTATGAGTCAGGACTGGCGAGCACTGACCAACAACACTGCTATAGTAGTAAATAAGACTGCTGTATGGGAGAGGGGACTGGGATGGGGAGACAGGCCATCACCAGGTTCAATAAGGCAATCTTAGACTGTGATCAGTGCTGATTTTGAAGGAGACGGAGTTAATGCAGAATGATGACTTTAGCTTGAGTGGTTAGGGAAGGTCTCTGAACTCAACTCTGAAAGGTAAAATAACCTGTTGTGCAAATTCTGGGAGAACGTTCCAGGCAGAAGGAATAGCAAGTGGACGAGCCTGAAGCAACGATGGGTGTGGCATGCTGAAGAAGGTCAAGTGTGCCGTTAGTACCAGATGAAGATGGAAGAGGTTGGGGCCAGATTAGGATCTATCTAGTGGACATTATTTGGGCAATTCAAATGTAGGAGACACTGTGGACCACATTTTAGTTTTAAAGGGCCATTTTGTTCTTTCTGGAGTTGGATGGTACAGAGGAAAGAGAAGTAACAGGAACCAGTTAGAAGTCTGTTAACAGTGGTCCAGATAAGAGTTAACAGAAGACACACAGGTTTTTGGCTTGAGCAAGAGTTTAGTAAACTAGGGAGGACCAGGGTATTTTTCTTTAATTTTAGTTTATGTTTTGAGGAATATGTGGGGGTGAGAAAGGGGGCAGGAATCAAGAGTTCTGTGTGCTCTGAAAGCTTTGACCTCAGTGAGGAGGTCAGGTCTAGAGAAGTAAATTGGGATCATCAGCACATAGATCCCATTTAAAGGCCAAGAACAGGTGAGTTCTTACCAGGAGAGCATTTAGACATAGAAGAGAACATTGTTATTTTTGCTGTGTGCCACCATGTTGGTTCTGGCTCATAGCAGTCCTGTTTTTAAGAGTGGCTGGTGGATATGAACTACCAACCTGGCAATTAGCAGTCCAGTTCTTATCCTACAGCACTACACCAACTTAATACAAAAACAACAGTATCAGACCATTAAGATTCTTAACTAATTTATTTTAAAATAGGTGAACTATTAATTGTAGAAAATAGTACACAGCAATTTTAAATGTACAGTTTTAGCCAATACAAAAAAGCAATAAAGCATTATCTGAAGCCTAATTTAAGAAATCTCAATACACAATCTCTGAAATTCCTAAAATCCTGGCACTAATTCTAATGTGAATGTATTAGCAAAAGACATAGAGGCACAGTAAGGCCGGACCTAAAAGCTCAATGATTTGTGAGTTCTTCATGCAGAACAGACAGAGGACCTGGAGAAAAGCTCTCTAGTGCCTTTGTTATCTAGACAGTTGTCAAAGTAAGACGTTTGAAACTTAACTGAGCCAAAAAAAATTTGGTTTTCTAACAAGACCAGATATCTTTGTAAAAAGAATTCTGGATTTAGACAAAATAATTTTCCTAAAAGCTATTCTGATGCTAACTTAAATACCACCTATTTTAAATTATACTATCTCTAAATAAGTTAACCACACAAGAGAATTTACACCTTTAGGTGCCAAGTGGTGGTGGGGGGGCCTCTTCTAATGAAGCTATTTTAGTTTGAAGCTTTTACACAAAATGAGATAGAAGCAATAATGCCTAATCCATAAAAACCTTTGATTACTTGCAATTTTGGAGTAGAACTAATCTAGCTTTGAATGTACCAGTGTTAGTCCATACTGGCTTAAAGGAAAATCAAAAAGAAAGAAAACTGCCAGTTCCAAGGATGCCTGGAAGACATGGACCATGGACCGTTCCAGAGAAAACACAGACCCTCCCACACGGAGGAGAGCGAATCATTGTTCAGAGCTGCAATAGATGAATCTCTGGAGGGGAGGGGGGATTGGAAAAAAAAAAAGGCTCCTATAGTTAACAGTTTGCTTACAGAGTAAAGTTAAGTTATATCTTGATTCTTTAAGACCCAGAAACATTCAAAAGTGCACTTGGAATAGACTGTACACAGGTCCTCTAGAGGAAAGCTCTAGTGGGAATACTTTACGTTTTCAAGTACTAGAGGGGGCTTTATAACGTCAGTAATCTGAATAGTATCAAAACTGAAAGTACTATTATATGAATGACCCTCATTTTAAAGCATGTGTTGGATGAAGAAAAGAATCACCAAGAAGCTCTGACAAGTCTGAGGTCTGAAATCTGTGTCAGTAGTATGCCAACATCATGTGTACACTTTGTTTTTTGCATCCAAAAGCTAAAATCTATAAAACAAACACAGAGGACACCAGATTCCAATGGTAAAGTAAAACATCATGTGTAAAAATTATTAATTATCTTTTTTTAGTTTCTAATATCTGTTTTAGCAGAAGAGTTCAGGGTATTTTGGGTGAATCAGTAGTCATCCAAATCGTATTTGGAAGACAGGACACATTTTCTGAGGGTGTTCATGTTAAATAAAAAATACATATATAAATTAATAAAAACAGTAGCAAACATCACACATATGCAAAAGAGAAAGCAGAGGACTCCAAGGAGGGCAGGGTGTGAGGCATCCTCACCAGTTGGGAAGCAGAGCAGTTTTACTTACGGTAGGAAACCGTCTGCTACAACTTTTTAAATAGCAGGATTTACACAAGATTTTCAATCTTGTACAATTACAATGACTACAACATTGCAAGTGGTTTAGGAATCCCACACACAAATTCAACGTTCATCTGCACACTTCTTCTATCCACAAAAAAGAACAAAAGATGAGTATTAAATGCGGCCGTAAACAGAACCGAAGAGAATTATACAGCAGCCTGGGAGACACACTGAAGCTAGAGGCGTACGCAGTGCCCACACCAAGGTCCTGAGAGCCTCACTTTTCCTCCTTGTTTGAGGTGCCCATGCTGTCATTCATTTTCTGCTTTTGCATTCGCGTCCGAGTAGATGCTGGAAAAAGGAAGCGAATAGTGAATGGCCCTGATGGCGCTGGCTAAGTAGGTGAGGGCTGTCAAACATGTTAGGCTCACACTCAATCAATGGTTCTCGAGGCCTTTCAAAACCAGGGGGTCCCCAAATGTTTCTGACCACATTTCCCTATAAGTTTTTTCTGATCATGTATCACATTTGTTCCAGTTTTTAAATTAATTTCAAATTTCACTACTAGATATCAGTAAATATGTAAAATGCATTTGTTCATATAGTTGTATATAAAAGCCTCCCATAGAGATTTATACAGGGCAGCTATGAGTTGGCATCGACTGGATGGCAGCAAGTTTGGATTTTTGGTTTTCACAGTTGTGCTGGAGACCCTAGGTGGTTCAAACATTTACTGTGCTTGGCTGCTAAATGAAAGGTGGGTGGTTTGAACCCACCCAGACGCACTTCCAAAGAAAGGCCTGGTGATCCACTTCCCAAAATTCAGCCATGAAAACCCCTGTGGGACCCAGTTCTAGTCTGACACCCAAGGGCAGGGGGTGGACGGAGTTGGAGTTGACTCAACAGCACCTGGTTTGGGTTTGGTTTTACTCTTCAGCTAATCACATGATAAAACACACAGTTCAAAGAGAGGAGATACAACCAAATAAGAAGTTTTAGTCTTCTCTTTATGTTCCCCCAAAGATGGTTTTGTACCTTCCTGGGATATGAACACCCCACTTTTGTACAAAACCGACCTAGAGAGGATGAGGTTGAGTTTGGGATGCACATGACTAGGATCCTGGGACTGTCCATACTGGATGGGTAGAGAGGAGCGGTGTCCTTTACAAACCAACACTCCCTTCACAGCCAAGCAGACCAATGGGAAGCCCACTGACTACATCAACCACACCACAGTTGTTTTGGAAAATATACATGTTTTTACAGCATTCTCTTCCTTTTTAAATGTGTATTTGTGAACTGTAAAATGCTTCCATGTGTTTTCAAAGCATGATTTTGTTTGTAAGCTTCATGTCTACCTTCGGGGAGTGGGGTGTCAGGGAAGTTAAAAATCCAAAATATGATTTATAACTATAAAGTATAAACTTTTTGTATATTTAGTACGGATTTTACTCTTCAAAATAATATACACAGAAAAAAGGCTTTAAAAACCCTAAAGTGTTCTTTTTATTACATTATGTCTCAAAGTTCATGTCTACAAAGATATATTAAGAGAAGCCCTTTGGTTACATTCGAATTGGTGCCATGCCTACTGATATGTCCTGTGACTTAGGAATGTCTCCTAAATATTTTTCTTCTTTCCAAGTTCAGCACCTTTTCGAATTAATAGAGCTGGCACCAGAGACTATGAAATGGCACACTCATTACCATCGCTACCACTTGAAGACAATGCAACAGCAGTTACTGAATGTGCTTGGGTTAATCTTTCACAGTCTCAAGAGTGGCTTAGGACAGAATTTTATTTGCCTGAACACTTGATAGCACTTAACAATAGCAACAACATATGATTTAGGAAGTAATCTGGTGTTCTTTACCAAAATACTGGTGTCTAATGACGACATTTGAAATTAACTTAAAAAAACTTGTACATTAAGAAAGTTTAACAATAGCAGAAAAATAAGATATTCGATATTTAAAGAGTAAGGGTCATGAACTTACATATGCTAGGTTTATAAAACCTCTTCCTACATCTAACACTGTGAAAGAGTTGCTCAGTAGAGTTCTGCTACCTTGAAATAATTTTAACCACATTTGTTGAAGATGTGGCCAAGCAACAGTGTACTTATTCTTCCTGCATGAAAGATTCTAGAATGGGTGAAGGTGACCTTCACTTTGCATCATAGATTTCATAACAAATGTTCGTAGGTAAGTAATATGTTTTCAGTATAGTTATAGTTTAAATGCATGAGAAAGTCTGCTAATTACGGGGATTATATGTATATTCTTTCTTTTAAAGATGGAAAAGCAATGTAAACAACTGTTTCTTTCAATTGTTGTTGTTTTTGTTGTTGTTAAGTGCCATCGAGTCAGTTCCGACTCAGGATCCTAAGGAGCCCTGGAGGTGTTGTGAGTTCTATACGGGCTGCTCACTGTAGGGTTGGTTGGAGAATCAAGCCCACCAGTTGCTCCACTGAAGAAATTGAGGTTTTCTGCTCTCGTAAAGATTACTGTCTTGTAAATCTTATAAAGGGTCACTATAAGTCAAAAGCAATTTGATGGCATTCAAGGCACACAACAACAACAATATATACTTACTCATTTCTGCCAGTTTCTGTTGAAATTTGGACTCCCCTGGGAGAGGTTTGCTGAAATTTAAAAATACAAACATTCCATGTGTATATGAATAAATGAAAAACTAAAAGTTTCATGATACGACGCTTTCAATGATTTATGAAACTATTTTTAGTTACTTATAGTATGAAAGGTTTATAAACTATTTAAATATAAATGTCACAAATATATGATTCCATACATTTATCAATGGGTTTTACAAAACATGTTTTTACAGAACAGATATGTTTAAATTTCATATTAAAACTAAAAATTGTACAATACCTTTTTAAAAAAAAAGGTCAGATTTTGTGAATCTGGTATCTTCACTGAATTTAGTTATAGATGGCATATTGTTTGTATGGTTCTTTAAACTTTAGGGTACATTCACATCTGTATTTTGAGAACTCCTCACAACTTGCAAATGAAACTGGCATGAAAGGGGTCGATGGGAACCAGGAGCAGAGGTCAGTCTGGCTCCCCAGGTGAGCTGTCTGTCAGCTAATGGAAAAGCTCTACATTGCTCCTTCCTACCTTCCGTCTGCTTCATCAGTTCCTTCAATGTCAAAGCGGAGTTTCTTCAGTGGTTTAGGAGGGTTGCTTCCTTCAGCGCTTCTTTTGAGCACACGGTCACTGTTACACACCATCTGATTTATTTTCTGGAACTTCTCAGAAGTCTATGAATTACAAAATTCTTTATTCTGAATCATTAAACACTGCTATTTGGTAATTAGCAACCCTTAACTATAGTTTGAATTGGGTCAAAAATCAAGCAGAGGTAGCATCTTCATTTTACTTTTTTGAACAAATACAAGATAAAAAATTCTCAGCAGCACAGTCACTGCACCTAACTGTGCCCCAGTTAAACACTCCTTCATTTTAAATCCTCCTGTCTCTGCCAACAAGGTTCCTACTTTTCCTATAGCTCTGACCACTATTGTGAATGTTTTTATTTCCTGATTTTTAGGACTCACCTACATGTAAAACCAGGACAGAACTACTCTCCATACATATGTGAAGTTGAAACAGCAGAAAGCTGTTTTGAACAGTTTTTGCTTTGTTTTCAGGGCATACCAGAACCAGAGGGAAAGGTCATGTAAATTTGGTAATAAATGTTTAAGTCACTAAATTTGGGGGCAATCTGCTCTAAGTAAGTCCCAGGCAGTTTTTCCGCTCCTGCATTCTAGAGGAGGAGTATATGCTGAATTTAGGATTGCTGCATTAGTGACATTAATGGAAGGCCAACTAGAGCAGAGAGTCCCCAACCTGGAGTAACAGTTTCAAAACTAAGCTTTCCCATAAGCCACTTCAACTGACGTACGGTTTCATGTAGCCAATTTGTAATTAGTGTACTAGAGACAAAATATCCTAGAAACATGACAAATCTGAAAGACGAAGGATAAGCAAAAGTGTGTATAGGTGGGAATGAGAAGACCAGTAGGTAGTTAATGGCTAGAGGCATCTGGATAGGGTGGTAACATTTTGGAGTAGCTCATTTTAAATTATACACATAATTAATATATTTCAAAACTGTTTTCAAAACACACCCACACATATATATCTTCTAAATTCTATGCAATATTCCTGGATGAGGTGTTTGAATCCTAGCATTTATCAATTAAAATTATAGAAATTTTCCATTTCTTTTAATAACAAACACATGACATTACTTCTTATACAAAGAGAATACTCACCCCAAATGATTCGCCAATTGATACCAAGATTCTGTCAAGTTAAGATGAAATACAAATTAATTTGTAATGAAATCATATATAAACGTGTAGAGATGAACATTATTCTGAGTTTATCAAGAACACCAACCAAAATTTTTCCTCTATCCTAGAACCATACACAAATTATACTCATTAGTGACTTATCCATAATAACCCCAAAAGTCACTGCTGTCGAGTCAATTCTGACTCATCCCGGTCCTGTAAGACCGAATAGGACTGCCCCATAGGGCTTCCACTGTTCATGAAAGCAGATGGACGCATCTTTCCTCACCCTTAACAGCCAGGATCAAAGCAGCCACCTTTTGGTTAGCAGCTGAGCACTTCACCACTATGTCATCAGGGTTCCCATTTTGCCACAATAATGCTAACAGAATCATACACTGAGTAGGTCTCTGAGAATTGTTTTAAGCAAGAGATACTTATAACAGGTCCTCAAGAACCTATTCTACCAATACACACATTTAAAGAGTGGAAAAGAAAGATGTAAGCTTACCTCTATTTTGCTGTTAAATGCCATGGAGTCAGTTCCGACTCATAGTGACCCTGTATAGGGTTTCTGAGGAGCTGCTGGTGGGTTTGAACCACTAACCTTGCGGTTAGCAGTCCACTGCTTATCCTACAGCACCAAACTAGTACTACTTACTTAGTTCTTCATAAACCAATGGGTAATATCTATATTGATATAACGTAAAAGGTATGTATCATATATCCTAGAATCAGAAATTTCTACTGCTCTGTTTTCCCTTCTTGGGACCGTTGTAATTTAAGTTATTGATAATATAGCTGAAGAAAAGCATTAGCCTCATGCTCTATTTGATGACATTCATGCACATGGAACTAGTGATATATTTGTTGTTTTTATTAAGTGTTGTCAAGTCAGTTCTGACTCCTATCAACCCTGTGTAGGGTTTTTGAGGAGCAACTGGTAGGTTTGAACTGCCAACCTTGTAGTCATCAGTTCAGTGCTTATTCTACAGCACCACAGAATTTATTATATTCCAGTTCTTTGATATATTGTCATTCATTCCATATACAATATATAATTAAGTAAATATGTTGGATAAACTGGTAAGATGCTCTTAATTCTTCATGATTTCTCAGTTCTAATTTTCAGAATTTGATTTTTTTACTAAACAACCCCAACCCAGAATCGATTTCACTAACATTGCCAAGAGCTATCATTGCAAATGTAAATGGATTAAGTATCAGAATTAAAAATACCTAAGTATTATGCATTTTCAGGATGGAAAGGTGTAAATTTGACTAAATAGGCACAGTGTGGTATTTCAGCAGCTTATAATGTAAGTCGTAGCTATCAATACACTCTAAGTGCAGCTTATAAAAGACAGCAGATGAGCACGTTATCTTACTGTGCTCCTATGCAGTTGTATCTTACTGCCAACTCTGTAGAGTTATAAATTTTATTATGTGTGGATTACTTGCATAAATAAACACACTAGCCAACTGTTTTCAAAAGGGTTAATAAATCTCCTCTATGTTTGTTTTTCTTGCCCATTACGTACAACTATCTAGGTTGATAATTTCTGAGCTGGTACTATATTAACTATGCTAGCAAATCTGCATCCCACTTTACACAAATAAAGTCAGTTTCAAATAGCCCATGATAGCATGTAATGAGTCAATTGAAGCACTTCAAAGCCAGAGAGCACATGTGGTTGGATGTGGGTGACAATATAATGATTTGTAGTTGCACAGATCTTTCATCTGAGAATTCTATACAGCTGCACACTCATCATTTCCCTAATCCACAACACCATGTTAAACACAAGCGTGAACTGCCAAAGGTAATCTAAGGAGACCACAAGTAGAATTAGGGGTGGGACTCAAACTTAATTTATACTTATCAACATTTAATAAGATGCTGCTTTTATAACAAAGCAAGATGATCAAAGCCCACAGACAGTTTAGAGGGTAACCAATAAACTATAGAAAAAATTCATAACCACAATGAACCTGTTTTGTTTAGCAGATTGGCTACTTATAAAAATATGAAAGTGTTTTGAAACCTACACCCAAACTGGTTCTCATGCTGCTTACAAAAGAACAGGCCCCAGCAGCCAGGAAAAATGATGACTGAATTAGAGAACCCATCCAAGTAACGAGATTATCGCTCTTCTCTGCATAACTCTTACTATGTGTCACTTGATACACACAGGCAAATTTGAGACTAAAGAGTCTAGTTTATTTTAAACAAAGAAAAATTTGTATTTTTATACTTGGATGACAATAATCCCTTCTTAATCTCTACCATTTTCTTAAAGAGAAAATACAGACCTTGATCTTGGAGTCATTTTTGCTGGAATTGACAAGCCTTCTGAAATTTTATACGGACTCTTCAGGGGTGAGATGTAGATGTTCCCTCCAGGAATTCGTAAAGGTGAACTAGGAAACTTATAAGGGCTCCGAGGAATGTGAGGTATTGGTGACAAGGTAGGGGGCTGGAACCAAAAATGTAGATCATTTATTTAATATTTCAGTGAGATGCTTTATAATTAAATTTCTCCAATCAAAAGATTCTTTCAACATACCCTGGGGGAAGCATACTGCAAAATATTTGTTTTCAGCCTCTGCATGAAGACTGAGTTATAGAATACTATAATGGAATCATACTCTTCTTCTCTGATCAAAACACGTTTGAATGTCTGAAGAAGAAGAGCAAAAAACTTGTTAGATGCATCTGATAATTTCTCTCCTTAGCTGTCTTTTCTACTAATTTATAATACTTTCAACTAGTAAGAAGCACAAAGTATACTGGACAGTGTCATCTGAAAAAGCTTAGGTAACAGCAGCTAGAACAGAAGTGAAAGGTTGCAGAATGATTCAGAAAGCAGCCAGGCAGCAACCATGGAACTGGGTGGGAGAAACAGAGTTGGTTGGCTGTCAGAGAGGAGTGGCCAAGTTGGCAGGATGGGCAACAGTATGGGGCTCAAAGGTCAGAGCTGAGCAAAAGTCAGTGGTATTGTCCCTAATCATTTGGACTACATCCTCTGGTCTGCTCTGCCCTGTAACTTCCTGCCATCTCTATCCCCAATTTACAAGGCTTCATGAAGTGTGCATTGCTACATCACAATTGTTGTTGTTAAGTGCCGTAGAGTCGGTTCCGACCCATAGCGACCCTGTACAGGGTTTCCAAGGCTGTAAATCTTTACGGGAGCAGAACGTCATCTTTCTCCCACAGAGCAGCTGGTAGTTTCGAACTTCTGGCCTTAAGGTTCGCAGCCCAATTCATAACCACTACGCTACCAGAGCTCCATGACAATTAGTCAACAGTAAAATCTGTGTACTTTTCTGAGATGTAGATTTTACTCAGACTTTAGTTAGGTAAAAGCAATGGAGTTTTATAGAACTCTCTGATACCTACAACTTAAGTGACTAGATACAGAAAATAACATTAAATGTACAAAAAAAAAACAACTGGTTCATTTTACTTTTAAAAAGAATCCAATGGTAAACTAGAAAAGTAACCTATGATTCAACATGCCACCTAAGAGTATGAATTGTGTGTTCCATCATGACTCCTGTTTCTCTTAAGTTACACTGGAAACACATGTATTGACACTGGACATTTTTATTAGTTATAAAACTGCTTTTATACTGACTTTACCTATAAAGTAATAAAAATAACTTTAAAAACTCTAATACCCTCTTACTTATGTCAAGTTTATTATATTATCAATGCTGCTTATTTCTTATTAAGCATACAGTATGACTTTAGATAGCAAAGATATGAAATACAAATTCAGAATCTAGCTTTCCAAGTACCATTATAGTTACCAATAATTAACCAATAATATGAAAAAGTAAAATTCAATTATAAATTTACATAATAAGGTCAAGACCCATGATCTTGACTGAAATTATCCAGATTTAAAAAAAAAAAAATCTCACCACAAAGACTACCTACCTCCTGGACGGCGTGAGGGAGGTCCTTGTAGGCTGTTACAATGATTTTGAATTTAAGGTCAATATTCTTTACTTTGCAAATGCCATACATAGAACACATCATGATCTAGTAAATCAATGGAATGTAGAAAGTCAGAATTTTATAATACAATTTTGCTCTAAAAAGTACCCTGCTACTTTTCTTTGGGACTTAAAAAATGAAAAGTTTAATTCCTACAGCGATTATCTGTTCCCATCTTTGAGCTCAGTTTCAAAGTCTATGTGAAATCTTTAATCCAAATTGTTTAAAGAACAAAATGCAAATAGCCACCTCTCTCAGAACTGTTATCTGCTTTGTAAGATATCCTAACTTTGGTTCCTACATCTTAAATGTTCCCCAGAAGAGAAAAATTAAAATGGGAATCAGATCAGAGTACTACTCATTAGTACTGGGAGCAGGGATAAGGAACTGAAGGGGGGTGGGGGTGGGGGGCGAGCATCTTCTGGATTGTTGAAAATGTCTGATTTCTTGACCTGGATGCTGGTTATACAGCTGAGCTCAACTGACTGTTGGTCTTGAAAGCTGTGTATTAAATCGTACTTAGGTAACAAACAAGTAGGGATAAGGAAGGTAAAATGCTTGATTTTCTTACCTGGTCCAAATGCCTGTCTCTCATGAGTTCATACTCATTTTGCAGTGTGTGTTGGAAAAGGGTCCAGATGATGTGTTCTAGCTCTGGGTGGTCAGACAGAAGGCGCGCACACAGGGTATTGAGTCGGAGATACGCCAGCCTGTATACTGTGGATAGAAGAGGTTTTTACAAGTAGATTTTTTTATAACAGTAAACTGCTATAACCATAATACTGTCACAAACCATGTAACAGTAGCCTCTCTTCTACCACGGAGCCCTAGCAGCAGAGTGGGGTATGCATTAGGCTGCTCATCACAAGGTCAGTGCTTCAAACAACCCTTCTCTTTACCAGAAAAGATGAGGCTGTCTGCTTCTGTAAAGAGTTACCCTATGGACATCTACTCTGCCCTATAGGCTTGATATGAGTTGGAATCGACCAGATGGCAATCTAGGGGTCAGGGTGAACTATTATAGTACGACCTGAAGCAGAAGTGAAGCGCTAAGAGACGAAAAGGTCCAAAGACATTTGTGAAATAAGGCAAGGCAAACTGGGTCTATTTCAGTTCCAATGGTAACATTCATCATGTTGTTAGGTGCCATCGAGTCGATACCGACTCATAGTGACCTTATACACAGCAGAAGGAAACACTGCCCGATCCTGGGCCAACTTCACTACTGTTGCCATGCTTGACTCCATCGATGCTGCCACTTGGCCAATACATCTTGTTGGGGGTCTTCCTCTTTTTCTCTGACCCTCCACCTTACCAAACATGACATCCTTCTCCAGCGACTAGTCCCTCCTGACAATATGTTCCAAGTATGAGAGACGAAGTTTGGCCATCTTGGTCTCCAAGGAGCACTCTCTGGCTGCACTTCTTCCAAAACGGATCTATTGGTTCTTTTGGCAGCCCATGGCACTTTCAATATTCTCCTCTAACACCATAACTCAAGAAAATCAATTCTTCTACAGTCTTCCTTATTCACTTTTGCATGCATATGCTGACATCTTTGCTCTTCAACACTTTAAAATGGTCTTGTGCAGCAGGTTTGCCTAATCATTCATCATAGCTGTTGGAAATTCCCACTATCAATACTCAAGAGAGATAATTATTTTTAAAAATAACGTAATGGCCCAATGTCTATGAATTTTTCCTACCCTGAAAATATATATTTTTTATATATCAAATAGCATAGTTCTTTTTCTGTGAGAAACTAATCAAGTACCTTTGTTGAAAACGGTAGTATTATAGAAGTATTATAGACAACTTAAAGTAGTAACATAACTGTAATATAAAATCTATTTAGAGTTTTTTAAAAACCATGACTGGAAATACAGGTTTGAAGAACAGGAATCCACAAAATTGAATTTTCGTCTATTGACTTTAAATATAAAGTCCCTGGTTTAAAACATACCTCTCAAAAGCTGTTTAAGCTGACAATTAATCCCTGTGTCTCAGTATGCATCAGACTCATCTGAAGGACTTGTTAAAACAAGGATTGCTGGGCCCCACTCTAGCTAGAATGGCTGATGAGTAGGTCTGGGACAGGCCCCAACATTCTCATTTTTACCATTTTTCAGGGACTACACTCTGAAAAATACTGTTTCAACCCAAGGACTAAGTCTCACCATATGTCTGTAAAGTTCAGTGTATTTCTGACTTGAATAAAATCAAGAAAAAGATTTATCATAAAGGAATCTGGCATTTCACTTTCTTTGAGAAAGTTCCAACTGGCTATGTACTTGTCCACACAAACTGACCTCCCTGTTCTGAGAATGCCTGGTGACTGACCTTCATAAATGTCCTAAAAACATCCAAGAACTGTGCCTGCACTAGGTCACGGCACACTGTAATGTCACCTCTACATTCACACCTTAACAAAGTAATCCCAGTAGCAAACATGTCCCACCATCAATTTGAAAGCATTAATAGTAGCAGCAGCAACATCTAACATACCATATGCTAGGCACTGTTGGAAATGCTTTATATGTATTAATTCAGTCAATTATCTCAAAAATCCTATCCAAAGAAACCCCAATGCCATTGAACTGATTCCAACTCAAAAAAAAAAACAACTCTATCTAGGATTTCTGAGTTTGTAAATCTTTGCAGGAGCACACAGCCTCATCTTTCTCCTACCAAAAGCCCTAGAACCCATTGCTACTGATTCATAGTGACCCTATACAGCAGAGCAGCATTGCTCCTTTGGGATTCCAGGACTATAAATCTCTACAGCAGCAGACCATCTCATCTTTTTCCTGGGGGTCAGAACTGCTGATTTTGTAGTTAGCAGTGCAACACTTTGCCCACTGAATCACCAGAGCTCCCAAACACCCTATGAACAGTATTATTAAAAGGTTTGTTGTTGTTGTGAAGTGCCATCGAGTAGATTCTGACCCACAGCAACCCTGTATAGGGTTTCTGAGGCAGCTGGTGAGCTTGAACCGCTGACCTTGCAGTTCAAACGGTTTGCAGTCTTGTACATTAGCCCACAGCGCCACACCGGGACTTCTATTAAAAGGTAGATGGTGATTATTCTCATTTCTACTTTACAAATTAGAAAATGGAGGCACAGAGAATGAATTACATGACTTGTGCAAGGTAAACAGAAGCGCCTTGATTTGAACCCAGTCAGCCTGGTACAGAGCCCATTCTACCCATGTAATCATCTACTAACCTTTTTTGTAAAAGAGTGAAAGGGAGGTAGATTTCAATGGCTTCTGAGTCTGAAAGGTGGAGGTTGCTTGTGCCTCTGCATTTGCAGTAGAATTTACACGTGTAGTTGACCCTTTTTTCTTTGGGGATCGTACAGGAGAAAGATACCTAGAAATATTCAAAGGGAAATTCCTTTTTTTCCCCCAAAAAACCCTTTTTATTGTGAACCAAGTGAACATTTACAAAGCAAATCATCATTTTTACATTTCAACAAATCATATACTTTGCTTCATTAAAATGGCTGTAATCCCCTCCAGGTACCAACAGTTAACAATATTTACTTGTATTTCCTTTAACACTTGCACTCATCTCCCCGCTGTGTTTCCTGCTACCTTCATCTCAAAGAAAAATTCTTCATTTGAAGATAACTAAGAATCACACACACACACATATGCACATACATCACAAAACATATAATTCATTTAATCTGTTACTCTACCAAATTCCCTTAGGTGTTGTGTTGTGGGATAAAGCAGTGGATTACAAGGTTGGTTTGCACATCAAAGTCGGTGGTTCACACTCACCAGCCACTCACTGGAATCCCTATAAAGGGTCTCTATGAGTTGGAACTGACTCAAAGACATTTAATAACAACAGCAGCTATGTAAATACAAGCTGTAAAAGACAGCTTAATAGGAAACTTCCAGCAAGATGGCAGAGTAGGCAGAGGTACTACACAGACCTTCAACAACAAAGATATGAGAGATAAAATAAAACAGACACAGATGAAAATGCTGGCATCCTGAACTTCAGAAGAAATGTTTGAGAGGTGGATGGAGTACTTGCTGGAAGGAGAGGCCAACTAGAGATGGTGAGAGGGAGACTGACTGGAGAACTTCTGGCCAGATGTGGGTCGACCAACTTGTGAGCAGTTTTAGCAGCAGAGGAAGCCCTGACTGAGTAGATTCACTCAGACAACAGAAAACGTGTGATTTCTTCTTTTCCCCAATACTCCCTGGTGACCAGAAAATGGTTAACTCCCATCCTCATCAACCCCCAGCGCAGACCCTGCTCTCCGGGAATTTGAAACCACACATTTGGGATCAATGCCAGTGTGAGTCGAGGGCCAGTTGTACCTGCTTGGTATGCCACTTATCAAAGTGGAATGCCACTTATCATGCTTGGAATCATGTGGGCTCGGCTCCAGGCCTACAAAACCCACAGATCCACCAGACCAGCATTTAACCAGTCATGCTGCCCCCAGCTTTCATGTGGTTCTAACAAGCACTGAAACCAGCTCCATCAAGGGCCCTCACAAATTACTTCCAGGTTGAATATCCTAAACATAGATAACACCAAGACTAATAGGAATGCAATCCATATAGGGCCAGGAACTCTGCTGTCACAACCCTTCCACAATGCCTCATGGGCTCCTTGAATTGCAGGAGTCCACCAGAGATTTTTCCCCTCCAGGTCGCAAAACAGCACAGTTTGATTTTACAAATATGACAACCCCACAATGCCCCAGAGACAACAGACAATTTTAGCTCACATGAAGAAAGAGAACTGCTCACACAAATGACTAAGAGGTATAGCCAGAAGATGTTTCTGAGGAAGAAAAGGTAATAGAACTAACTGAAAAAGAATTCAAAAGAATGGTAATTATGTACTTTCAAGGGACTGATAGATTGAGGAAAGCAAGAACACAATAAAACTTTAGAAGAATTCAGGAAAATGCTGTAAGAATAGACAAAATAAATACAAATTTTGAAACAATGCAAAACCTGTAATTAGAAATCTAGATTAATACTTAGATCTCAGAAATGTAAAATACTTTGACAAAGTAAAAGGAGTACATATAAACCAATGGAAACCCGAATGAGTGTGCTTGAATATAATTGCAATACTAGTATAATAGAAGAACAATCAGAAAAAAAGAATAAAAAAATCTGAAGACGTGTAAGAGTTCTGTGGGACACCATGAAGAGGAACAACTTATGGGTGATCGGAATTCCAGAACAGGAAGAGATTAGCACAGAGAAAACTGTCAACTTTCCTAACATCATGAAATATGAGAAGATAAGCATATGAGAAGCTGAATGAAACTGAAACAGGATAGATCTCAAAAGAAAATCACCAAGATTTATCATAATCAAACTTTCCAAAATCACATACAAATAAAGAATCCCAAGAGCAACTTGGGAAAAATGAAAAGTTTCCTACAAAGCAGAAGTAATAAGCAAGCTTAAACTCTAATTTCTTAGCAGAAACCACACAGGCAAGAAGACAATAGGATGACATATACAAACTCTGAAAGAAAAAACTGCCAACCAAGAATCTTATACCCAGCCAAGCTGTCCCTCATATTTGTTGATAAACAGAAATTAAAGGAATTTGTGATGACCTGACCAATTTTACAAAAAATGGTAGAGGGTGTTCTTTGAACCAACAACAGCAGACAACAACCTGAATGGCCATACATGACACCACCACTGTGAACTCAATCCTGATGTAGAAATATTTAAAGTAAAACCAACCTACAATACTGAAAATAGGAAGCCAGAGATATCAATTTAAAATGAAGTCAAACGCAAAGTAAAAGAGGGACTAGTATAGATACAGAACTTCCAAATGGTAAGAAAGTCAAGTAGATTTCAGGATAAAACTGTTTTAAAGCAGGAAAAAATTAATGTTACAGGGCAACCTCAAAGAAAAAGAATACAACTGCAGAGTAAATTAAAAAAAGAGGAAAATCAGAACAATTTAGTAAACATTAACACAAAAATGACAATGAAAAGAAAACTCACAAACAAAATGAACACAGCATAGAAAAGTATGTGGAACAAAGAATCCAGCAGCACCACAAAAAACACACACAGAAAAATGACAACAATCAATTCATACCTATTATTAATTACACTAAACTTAAATGGATTAAATGGACCAGTCAAGAGGCATAAAGAGCGGAATGGATACGAAAACAGGATCCTTCAATATGTTATCTACAAGAGACACATCAAAAAGATCAAATGCCTACAACTTTAAAAAATGTTGAAGAATCATGATGAATCTGTGAAACAATTCACAGCAGGATTGAACCTGGAGGACATTATGCTGAGTGAAATTAGTCAATCACAAAAGAAAAACATTGTATGAGACTAATGTTGTAAACAGTTTTTTTTTTAAAAAGGTTTTTTTTCATATAAAAGAAACAATCTATGATGGCTATGGGGGGGGGCTGGGGAAGAGAACGTTTTCATGGGCTAGAGGGTTGTTGTTGTCAAGTGCCATCGAGTCAGTTCTGACCCATAGAGACCCTGTATAGGGTTTCTGAGGAGCAGATGGTGAGCTTGAACTGCTGACCTTGCAGTTCAAATGGCTTTGTAGTCTGGCGCATTATCCCACCGTGCCACACCAGGGCTAGAGAGTAGACATGTTAATACGGTGACAGAGCAAGCAATGTACAACAAGAGAGGAGAGGGAAGTTAGCAGAGGAAGGATGAAGTCAGAGGGAGACACAGGGAGGAATATAGTACTTAAACTGAATAGAAATAAGTGCTGTTGACTATTGATACATGGAGAGGATTGCAACCATGTAGTGAAGCAAAGTATAAGATTTATTGGATTTAAAATCGATGATCTTCTCTGTAAACCTTAACTCAATTCACAACATAAAGATTAAAAAAAAAAAAAAAAAAAAAGCTTCATAGGAATACTAAGGAGCTCTGGTAGCATAGTGGTTACAAGTCAGGCTGCTAATTTCTCACAGCATTTAGAAACTACCAGTGGTTCCGCGGGAGAAAGGTGAGGCTTTCTGCTCCCATAAAGATTTACCGCCTTGGAAACCCTATACGGTGTGGCTATGAGTCAGAAGAGACTCCATGGCTCATAACCACCACCAACAGGAACACTAAATTTGTCATTACCATGGTTTTACATAGGAATTACTGCCTATTGAAAGAAAAGAAAAGCTATATAGGTATGTATGTTTAATTTTAATCATTATAGTGGGATTGAAATAACAAAATGACACCAACTTAAAAGAAAAAGTTATCAATATCAAGAGGAAAAAGTTACATGTGATTAGAATTTTAGAATAGAAAGAGACCAAAAAAAAAAAAAAGTTGAAAATTTGTTGAAGAAAGATTAGAGGATATGAATTCAACATGCTCAGCAAATTCTAAAATGGGTATGACCTAAAAGAAGATCACCAAGACATATCAGAATCAAACTTTCCAAAACCACAGACAAGGTCAGAATCTTGAAAACAGCTCAAGAAAAGTAAAACGTTACCTAAAAAAGGAGAATCAATAAGACCAAACTGATTTCTTGACAGAACCCATATAGGGAAGAAGGCTATGAGATGTCATGTTAAAAACTCTGAAAGAAAACAACTGTAGTGCAGGAATTATTTAATATGTCTGTTCTAGCCACAGTTTTTGTTATTCTCACCAAAGGTCTTTTTCTATTGGGAGAAGTTAGGGAAGACAGTGATAGGATTATATGATTCAGTTGTTAGCGATAACAGGAAGAATTGTGATTGTAAAAACTTGGAACTCTAATGAGGGGATTGGCCAATTTTGCCTCCTGATGGGTTTTAAATGAGCCATCTCAGCAACAATAAGGAGGAACTAGCATTAAGGGGGAAGAGCCAGGAGTGGAGAAATGAAAATGAAAAGAAAACGCATAAACAAAATGAACTAAGCATAGAAAATTATGTGGAACAAAGAGTTAAGCAGCACTACCAAAAAACACACACACACACAAACACACACACACACAAATGACAACAATCAATTCATACCTATTGATAATTACACAGAATGTAACATTTTGGACCCCAACATCCCTGCGTGTTGAACCTCCTTGACACAGGAGACAGAGCTGTGACACTAGAGAAGCAGCAGAGGAGAGAAAGCAGTGGAACTAAGAGAGAGGAAGAAACAGAGCAGTGGGCTTCCTGTCCCATGGAATGAGACAGCAGAGTGCCTGTACCAAGTGGAATGCCCTTTGGCCAATTTCTCAGTAGCATTGCCCAAGGGACCAGAGGGAGGTGTCCCTGCAGCCATGGTTGTGAAGAGGCTGTCCGGACTGAAAGAACTTCGGATCCTGGACTGTAACCTTCCTTTACAAACTTCATAAGGTCACTATAAGTCAGAACCAGTTCG